TTCAGCTGGGCGTCGCAGGGCACCGCCGCGCCCACTGCGGACGAGAAGATGGACGCACTGCCCGGCGACTGCACGCGATCTGGCCGAGGCGCTCCGGGGGCAGGAAGCGGCGGGGAGACTGGACAGGGTCCTGTTGTGGAGTGATCCCGATTGACGCGCCCCTGTCCGACGCTGCGCGGGCCGGCAACACAGTTGCCGGGACCTCGAGTTAAGCGTTTGCTGCCGCACGGGCAGGCGCCACGGGCGCCGGAACTGTCGGCGCCCGATTAACGCCAAGGAAGCGGCACTCGGCGATGGCGTCAGCTTGTCCGCGGCGCATCTGACCGAACACCACGCGGGTGTCTGCGCTCTGCTACAGGTGCAGAATGCATGCTTGACGTAGATGCCGGCATGGACTGCGGTGGCCACGTGGAGCTCGATTCGCATGGCTCACATGGCGCGATGGCGCCGAGAGCTGAGACCCAAGGTATGTAAGCCCAGCTCGGCATCTGCACGTCGGCAGACTGGGTTGGGGACGCGGCGACACGCGCGTCGAGGTCGCCCACCCAATCGCGCCCCCGGGCCTGTGCCAGCGGGAATGCGCCGTCCACTTGCGTCCACCACTGTGGTGTCCTTGGCGGCGGTAGTGCCGCTGAGGCTGATGGAGCTGCTGGTCTAGTTGGCGCCCCTGAAGCCGGCGCGGCCACTGGCGGCGCTTCCCCCGCTGCTGCCTGGCGGCCCGGCGACGCAGCCGCCCGGGCCGTCGGTGCTGCAGAGGCTTGCGGGCGGCCCATCAGGTCGGCCATCTCTCGTCATAATCGTCGCACGTCGGCTTCGCGCGGCGAGAGCGAGGACGACGACGACGCCCCTGCCCAAGTTGACCAATCGCGGAACCCAGCGGGTTGCCACGAGCCGCTCGACGAAGAGCATGGAGCGACTGCTGGCGCCGACGGCCGCGGCGCCGGCGCTGGTGGAATTGGCTGTCCGCCGTTCCTGGGGCCAGCGCTCTGCAGTGGATCGCCGTTCCTGGCGCCCCCAACCGCGGTCCGAGGAGCCTCAGAGGTGCCCCTTGTCACCCGGGCCGCGCGCGCTCCTGTCGCGGGCCGCTGCTCGGCCCGCCCTGGCGGCCCATGCTGTCCCAGAAGAGCTTGCAATGAGAATGACGGTGCCGATGGTGGCGCCGGGGCGCAAGCGAGAGCGCGCCCTTGTCGGCGGCGCCAGGGGCAGTCGCGCACGAGGCGCTCATCGGAATCGCTCGCGCTCGTGGCATTTGAAACGCGCCCCGCCAGGACCCGCGGGGCTGCCCGGGCGGCCCGAACCCGCGCCCGCGGCCCTGAACATCCCTTTCCCCTTACCTTTCGCCCTCCCCGACGCCCGCGGAGGCATCCCAGAAGTCGTTCTCGGCCAGGGCGGCTGGGAAAGCACGGTAACTTTCACCCTCGCCCTTGCCCTTCCGTTCGATGGCCCTGCGGGCGCGGCGCGCGGGCTCGCGGGCGTCGAAGCTGCGCCGGCGCGATTTGGCGCGCTCGCGCGCTCGCAAGCGTCGGCGGCTATCTCCTCGCCGAGTGAGCCGGCGGCGTCGGCGTCGGCGCCCGAGTCGACCTCTGCCGCAGGGCGCGCCTCCTGCGCCGGCGGCGCCGCGCTAGGGGCGCAACCTCCAGACGCCGCCCCGGCCGGCGCAGGGGGGCTCGGTGCCGACCCCAGCACAGCAGGACCCATGCTGCCCCAGCTCCGCTCCTGCGCGGGCGCGCCAGTGAGGAACGTGCGCCGTTGGGCAGAGTGGACCGCCGAGGCGACGTTGCCTGGCGACCCCTCTATCACGCGCCCAAAGCGTCTCTGCTGGCCCGTCGCACGGACGAGCTGCTGAGCTCGCGGGGTAGGCCGCGTTGCAGTGCTGTTGGAGCATGGTGAGTTGGGTGTTCGACGCGGCAACGGCGCGCAACAGGAGGAAGTGACCAGCCTGCTGCGCTCGGTTGCGGAAGATGTCGGACCTCGTTAGGATGTTGCCGATGCGCTCCTGCGGCAGTCAGTTGAAGTTCAGAGCGGATGCTGCCGAATCGTTCGGCCAACCTACGCATTATGAGGCAATCGGTGGCAATGGGTTGTCGCTGATGAAACCTGCCTGGGTCAGGACTGCCGGCGGCCGTTCATCCACGCACCCGCGCACCATCCTGGTAAGACGCGATGCGACGTAGGCCGCCTGGCAAAACTCGTTGAAGTATGAATTCGCCACTGACCGGATCATCACCTCGCGCGCCCATTTCTGGACAGGCACGCGAGCCTGGTGCTAAGGCCCCCATGTGCGGAGGTGGCGCGCGTTGCCGCAGCCGTCACCTGCGCCCATGCAGGCGACGCAGCCTGCGATGGCAAACGTGCCGCCTCCGGTGGCGCCTTCCATCCGGAGTGTAGCTCCCTCCACAGGTCGCACAGGTGCTGGAAGCCGGGGATCCACAAGCTGCATTGAGTCGCCGAGGATACTTGCCCCAGATGTGTCCCCCTCGCCAGCGCGTTGGGCGCCTGCTAGTCGCGCTAATGCAGGGCTCACGCTGCTCGGAGCAACCCGCGATACAATCACGGCAATGATCCTCGTACGTCGCGTGGTCCCTGTTCTGTGCACCGCCAATTACACGATCGTCTATAAGAATGCGCGTCGGCACTCCGCATTGCCAGGCTGGCAGGTCTGAGTCGGTAAAGCGAAGGGTCGGATCCCGAAGCGCGGCGCCTCGGAGTGATGGCGCCCCACTGGTCACACCCTCCACTGCATTACCTTGGGGGGGTAAACAGTTCCCATGCTCCCCAATGCATCCTCGCTCGGCACCAGCGACAACGTCGCCGGATGCCTCTTCTCTGCTTGCTTCTCCTAGGCTCTCGGGACCTTGTTCTGACACCGCTGATCTGCACGCTGCTTCGAGCAACTCTCGAACAACTGAGGCTATTCCCACGGGCGGGGGCACTGACTGTTTGGGGTCCGAGCTGCCTGGGCATAGTCCGAACATGCCCGGGATGGGTCGCGGAACGGCCCTTGTAGATTTTGGTGATGTTGCCCTTGATGAGGTCCTGGTTTTGCACGTTCCCAGTCACCTGGCGGATGGGCAGATGCCCCGACGGACCCTCGAGCAACGAATCCTGCCATAGTGAACGGGAAGAGATGCACGAGGGCGGAGGTGTTGAAGGCGGCGCGCACGCTCCCGGTCGCGGGTCCTGGCGGATGGGCTGGCAGAGCCCTGACGCACCCTAAAGTAACGTTTCCTGCCAGAGCGAAGGGGAGGAAGAGCACGAATGCGTAGATGCTGAAGGCGCTTGACCGAAGCCGAAGGCGGTGGATGGTGGAAGCCATTGCGGTCGACGGGAAGCGAGACATGGCGGCCGTGGTGGGAGCAGGGGTGTACCTGTTCCGCTACCAACTACAAATGAAGATGCAGAGGTGAATATCAATCAGGAATCACGCTCTCGGTCTCGCCATTCTCACGGTTTGCTTGGGAATCGCGCTACCGCTGAAGACTTCCTCGAGATTCATGCACGACTGACACGACAGCGACCCGGCCGCTCGACCTGGCCGTCTAGGCCCACCCACCCGACCCGCCTGTTAGGGTCCGCCCACCTGACCCGCCCGTCTGGTTCTGCCGCTCGTGCCTGGTTGAGGGAAAAAGGGCGTGCAATGGTTTGGGGAAATTGCATTGCAACTGTACTGTGCCAGGGGATGGTCCGTTGTATTGCACTGTAATGAAACTATTGCAGTGCACGAAAAGATCCAGCAATACATTTGAAATCATTTGCGCACAGGAATGTATAGAACGCTTCGAATGTAGCGCATCCCCCAACATCGAGTGCACCAAATCTATTGCAGCACCACCTTTAGCTGGACATGCGCTTGCGTCAACCATGTTGTTTTCCTGCTGTGACCCCCCCTCCTGCCAATCTCTCTCGTCATCCGTTCTTCTCCCTCCCCGCTGTCCGTTCCCTCCTCCCTCCCTTCCCCTGTTTTAGGGGCTGCGTCAGCTACACGATGTAGGGAAGGAAGCTATGCCTCCAGGGGGTATGATCGAAGACGAGAAGGGCGGGAGTGTTTAGGACATACATGTTGGAAGACACGCGGTCAGATAAGAGCGAACAGTCTCACATTGTGTGTCATTGCTTTGGGGGGGTAAGACAGTTTCCCATACAGTCGGGCTGCTGAAAGAAGGAACGATACAGAAGGAACGATGCCCCTTTTTGGCCCCAAGGGCGCCCGCGTGCAAGCGGAGGGCTGAAGGAACGGCCATGGAAGGCCCTAAGGAACGTCGAGTCCCTTCTGAGCCCAAACTGTTCCTTATTTCAGCGACCTGGCTGTAGTTCCCCCCATTGCCCCCCCCGCAGGTCTTTGGGGAGGGGGGTATGGGTGGTGATGGTCCCTTGAGGTTCCCTGGGACCTCCCTAAATCCCTCCTCGGGGCGAAGGGAGTTCTGCAGGACGAAGGGGAGGTTTCTCCGGAGCATCCCTCAACTTGACTTCCTTGGGGTGTCAGGATGTGTCTTCTTTCCAGAACCCCCCCTGACCACCCCTCCACTCCAAACAAAAAAACTGAAAGGGTCCCAGGGAAAATCCACCTTAGCCCGCTCCCCTTCCCCAAGGAGGGAGGGTGCTAGGAGGATTGCGGAAGGAAATCCTCCGACCCCTCGAACAAGGTTCCCCGAGGAGGGGGGCAGGGGGAAAGAACCTTAGCACGCTTCCTTGGCAGCGCTGGCGGACGCAGGCGCGGGGGGTCGGTACCAGCTGGGCGCACCAGGCGCGGAAAAACCCATAGCATACCCACCCCCCGCCCCTGAGGGGGGGCTCCAAGGGCAGTTCGGAAGGAAAACCCCCGCCAACCCCCACACCCCACACCCCTGCGAGGAAGTGCCAGAGGAAAACTCCCCTTCCCCCCCCCCCTCTTCAAGAAAGAACTATGAGGGGGCGCCCGGGAGAAAGCAAACACCTAACTCACCCTCACAAGGGGGGATAAGGAGGGAGTCCTGGAGGGCTTCTGGGAGCTGCCATGCTGCCTGCACCCGTGCCTCGGTCGCAGAGGCTGCCTCGGTCCTGCCCGTGGCGGAGGCCTCGGCCTGGACGGACGGCAACTGCACACCGCGCCGATCATGGCCAGACCCATCCCTGGGCCCAGCATCGGTGCATACGCTCTCCTGGCCTGTCCAGGATGGCACGTGCACTGAGCCTGGGTCCAGGGTCGCCCTGCCCAAGACAGGCGTGCTGGAGAGTTGGCGTCCTCCGACGGCCTCCGCCAGCCGCGCCTTGAGCTCTCGCTCCTCTCTGCGAAGGACGTCCACGCGGCCCATGGCGGCATCCGAGCCCCGCATGAGCTCCTCGAGTCGCTCGCCGAGGCTCTCGTATGCGCGCTGCTGGGCGTCGCGGTCCTCGGTCAGCTGCTGCAGCCGTTCCTGCGCAGCGTCACGCCCCCGACTCGCAGGCGCCCCAGCGTCCGCTGCGCCGCGGTGGGCCTGGCCACCTGCGCAGGCGCCCCGCTCGGCCAGGGCGCGGACGTCCTCGGGGACCTGGTCGAGGCCTCGCGCCGCCAGCAGCCGCTGCGACTGCTCCCTCCAGAACTCCAGCTCCACCAGCAGGGGCTCGCAGGCAGCGCTGACCGCGCAGAGCTCGGCCTCCAGCGCCGCGCCGCGGGCGTCGGCGTCCGCCTGGTGCTGCCAGAGCTCGCGCCGCATCGCCTCCAGGCGCTGGTCGTGCGCACCGACGCCAGGTGCCGGCGGCGCTGCCCCCGCCGCCGCGCCCTCTGGCGGGAGCTCCCCACGCGGCTGACCCTCTCCCGCCTCGCCCAGATCCCTGCGCAGCTCCTCCGCCTCTCGCGAGACCTCGTCGAGCCGCAGCTGCAGGCCCTGCCGCGCGTGAAGCCGCTCCTCCTCCCGCGCCTCCAGCTCTCCGATCCGCTCCTTCAGGTCGGCCAGCCGCTGGCCGCGTCCTGCGCTGGTGCCCTCCTGACTGGTCGCGGCGGGCCCGTCGTCGAGGGCTCGAACGGCACTGCCAGCGGCGCCTACGAGCGACTGGCCACGGAGCTCGCTCAGGCCCTTGGCTGCGTCTGCGCTGAACTCGCTGATGCCCTCCTTCAGCCCCAAGTCGAACATCTTCATTTTGCCAACGGTGTCCTTTGTCACGATCTTGGCAGCCTCGAAGGTAGTGCTGGCAACCCCCTTGGTGAGCGCGTGCAGGTCCGACTGCGTGGCCACCTCATCGGCCTGTTCCAGCAAATTCCCCAAACTCTTGGCCTGGTCCAGCAGCTTCCCAAAGCCCAACATCACCCGCGCACGCAGGCCCTGCAGGGAACGAGCCAGCGACGGCTATGGCTGCGGGCTACGGGCTCGGTAAAGGCCAGAACTGGCGGAGCGACACGGTATCCAAACGTTCCCGACCGCATTTTTCTCTCGCATCCGGCCCGCCCCCGCTGGAACGACACACGAGGACGCCATTATGATGCGAGAGTGGGTCGAGCGCCTCTCTGGCAGGCCAGGCCACTGGACAGGCCTGGACGTGGAGCGACCTGTGCACGCCCAGTCCAGCTTGCACCTCGGAGCCGGTACACGACGAAAGGACGGAGGAGGAGGAGGAGGAGGAGGAGGAGGAGGAGGAGGAGGAGGAGGAGGAGGAGGAAGGGAGGAGGAGGAGGAGGAGGGAGGAGGAGGAGGAGGAGGAGGAGGTGGGGAGGAGGAGGAGGAGGAGGGGAGGGAGGAGGAGGAGGAGGAGGAGGAGGAGGAGCACGTGCAAACCTCGGAGGGCCGAGCCTGCACGTCGGCACGAGGAACATGTGCATAGACACGGGAGCGGCAGCGGGGCCGCGATGGAGAGGGCGAGAGGCCGTCGTCGCCACAGCGGCGCGCAGCTTCTGCGCGGAAGCGTTGCGGATGCCACGACCATGGGCACCCTAGCAGCCCTATTATTGGATTTAAACTGTGTTTGAAATGTCGGAGACGTGTTCTACGCATGTGCTAAACATGCTGGTTTATGTTGAAAACATGTTTGAAACATTTGGACATCTGGGAGTTATTTGGCAGCATGCTTCCTCTCCATGAATCGACTTCCACACCGAAAGCGGCAGTGCTGTTCCTTCGCGGCGCATTCTTCGTCTTCGCCGCGATTGTCGGAAACTTGGCCGCCCGAGTTGCGGCTAAACTGTGTGTGTGTGTGTGTGTGTCCGACCGCAGCGCCGCGCAGGGAAGTCCTGGAGCTCCGCCTCCGTCCCTGCGGGGCCCGCGTCGGAGGCCGCACCGCGCGCCAGCGCCTTCGGTCAGCTGTGCAGGTGGGAGCGCGTTCCGATGCCGACAGCACGCTGTGCCACACGTGGACCTCCTGTGATATGGGAGGAAGGGCGAGGCTGGGCGGGGCCCGCCGCCTCGCTCGACCCGGCCGACGTGTCCTCCCTCCCACTCCTCCTCGCCCTTCTCCTCGCGCGGGGCTGGTGCGCCTGCCGGGGCCTGATCCGAGAGGGGGGGGCGATCCGCCAGCCAGTGGGAAGTCTCTGGCTCGGGCAGGCCAACGGTGAGAAGGGAGGAGGAGAGGGAGGGGAGGGGGGAGCGCCCGTGCGAGCGGAACAAAAACCTCATGCCCTTGCAGGACTCTGGCCGCGGAGAGGGAAGGGGGGAGGGGGAGATGCGGGAGAGCGAGGTGAACGGGGCCGGGGAGGCGGTGAGGCGGGGGCTGGAAAGCGGAGGAAAGAGCCTTGTCGACAGGGGGGGTCCTGGCGTCGCGACGCCAGGCTGCGCCCGCAGCTCTCTCTCTCTCTCTCTCCCTCTCCTTGAGGGCCCCCAAGAGAGGAGATTCAGATGCTCGTTGTGAGGACCTTCTTGGAGCAACTTGCTACACTCATGCGTCGATGCTGCGTCGAACGTCTGTCGACCTGAGTCGAACTTGAGTCGACGTTGAGCCGAAACTTGAGTCGACAATAAATCAAGCTCGAGTCAAGCTAGAGTCGAGTTGGAGTCGGACAGGTTCGCTTGGTGCCCCCCAGCAAGATCCACAGAACGGGCATCTAAGGACATTGGTAAACTAAGACATTGGCACGCCCAAGAACAGAGAGCAGCAACAGACACCCTCATTCGCTGCCGTGCCGCTGGGCACTGAGTGAGCTTGTTCTCGGGTCCTTTGCCCACTCCTCTAAGCCTCAATCCTCATTCCTGAGGAAACCTTAAGGGGTCAGAGCCCAACTCCTCAATTCTCTCGGGGCTTCGCGCAGCTTGTGGAGAATCCGGCGCGTCTTGTCGCACGACTCAGTCGGGCCCAACGGGGGACCAAGACAGGTCACGAGGGCCCCAAGAGGCCTCCAAGACGGTCCAAGAGGGCCCCGAGTCGCCGAGAGATCGCGCCAAGACGCCCAAGATAGTTTCAAGACGGCCCAAGAGGCCTCCAAGACTCCCAAAGAGAGACCAAGGGCCTTCCCAAGAGGGCCCCGAGATGCCAAAATCATGGATGTTCCATCAGCTTTTCAAGAAGCTGGGGGTCCTCGACATGTCGAGCTCCCGAGAGGCCTCCTCCTCCTCCTCCGTTTTCCTGGTCCTCTTTCTCCTCTTTCTCCTCCTCCTCCTCCTCCTCCTCCTCCTCCTCCTCCTCCTCCTCCTCATCCTCATCCTCATCCTTCTCCTTCTCCTCATCCTCCTCCTCCCCCATGTGTTTCCCGAAAGTCCACAACGATTTGGGGAACATTTCGTCCGATATTTTGGGCAAGCTCTGGCCCAATTTTCGGCCACAGAGGCGCTTTCCAAAAAGGCAGGGGCCGGCGTCAGATGGGCCAGAAAAGCTTCAAGACGGCCAATGTGGCCCAAGATGGCCTCCAAGATGCGTCCAAGATGGCAAAGAAGGCCCCAAGAGAGACAGCCCCAAAATGGCCTCCAAGACAATCCCAATATGCCTCCAAGACCGCCAAAATGACCCAACACAACCCTAGAATAGCCCAAGAGGCTCGCGAGAGGCCTCCTCCTCCCTTCTCCTCCTTGTTCCTCCCTCTCCTCCCCTTCCCCGTCCTTCCCTACGTGTTCCCCGAAGACTTTCCGAGCCGACTCGGGGAACTCTTGGTCCGACAGCTTCGCCAAGACCTAGCCCAACCCTCGGCCACATAGGCGTGTCCAGAAAGGCAGGGGGCGGCGGTGATTCGGCGTAGGCGTCTTCGATCAGCACCCCGACAAGCGAAGCCGTTTAGCGAACGCACCCAAGGAAGGAATCGAACAGGGCAGGGCTGCTGAGTAAACGACCAGGGCCGTGTGGTAAGCTCCACTTTTGGGGGTCCGGGTGGCTTTTCCTCCCTCGGGAGGAAAACTGCAGCCGCGGGTCGAAACATTCTCTATTGCCCGATCACTCCAGCCGCAATGTTCAAGCCCTGCTCAGCAGTGCCCGGGTCATGGGGGCCCTGCTCTCTCTCTCTTTCTCTCTTTGTCTCTCTCTCTCTCTCGCTCTCCCTCTTTCCCTTGGGAGAAACGTACGACTCGAGGTTGGGAGACTCGGGTTGGCCTGGCGGAGGAAGAGGACGAGACCCCGTCTGAGCATTGCCGTGAGCTCCCGCTGCAAAAACGCCCCACGAGAACGGGACGGCCAGATCTCGGGACGGGCCCGTCGAGAGGCGCGCGTGCGAGCCCGAGCTCCAGCGAGCTCCAGCCTTACGTATTCCCCGACCTCTCTCTCTCTTGCTCTCTCTTTCCGCGGCGGACGCTGGCCCGCACTCCCAGATCGCCTTCTTGGCGGGCCAGGCAGCCTCCCCGGAGGCGCTCGGCCCGAGCGCGGTGCAGCGCGGCAGCGGGCCGCGGCAGAAGCACGAGCGCTGGTGGGCGTAGGGGATCGCCATCTCGTAGGCGCTGGGCCTCCAGGGCCGCGCGCCGCAGGTCCCGAGGCAGGAGCCGCTCGCCCCCGCGGGCCCAGACTCCGCCAGCCAGATGGCGATGCCGGTGCCGAGCCCGCGCACGGCGTGGTCGCCCCACCTGGGCGAGGAGAAGAAGCGGGTCGCACGCGAGGTGGCACAGCGACCTTACGCGGTGGCTCACGCGGGCCGCCGGCGCGGCACGCTGCACTAGAGACGAGGGCGCTCACGCGCGACCTTACGCGGGCAGCTTGCGCGCCAATGTCCGCGCAGACCACCCCGTTGTCTCGCGCCGCTCACCTATGCTTCCAGAAGCCTCCGAGGCTGTCCAGGAACGAGAAGTACCTGAAGTACTCCGTGCCTGCGCCGAAGAAGCGCACCCGCAGCAGCTCGCAATCAGTCATGACGACCTTGTCGTTCCAGGACGGCGCCTCCTTCCAGCCCTGGGGTGTCATGAGGAATCGCTTGAGGAATGCCTGCTTGTCCTGGGCAACGCCCACAATGTCCACGCCATTGTATCCCATGTAGAGCAAGGTGGACTCCCATAGGCCAACGGCGGATATGGGCGACGACTGGGTGAGATACTGGTAACCAAGGACCAGCGATTCGTTCTTGTGCATCACCTCAAAAGGGTCTTCATGAAGGACCTGTGGCAGGTGACTGTCAGTGTCCAGCGACCACAGATAATCCAATCGCGTCACTGCAGGATGGTTGAAAACAGGGCCTGCTCGGAAACGCGCTTGCGCGCGATAACCGACTGAAAACGAGTGGTGCGAGAACTTCTCTTGCTCGCCACCATCGCCGTCCTGCCAAAGGTCTGGTGGCAAATTGGCTTGGTCGGGGAGGAAGTCGTCGCCCACGTGATGGAACCAAACACGATGCGGTGCTGCCAGCACGATCTGTGACCGTATGGCCGCGGGCAAGCCATCGTGAAAGACGAGCACGGGATATTGGCGGCGCGCACAGGGTGGTAGGGGGAGGGGTAGTTAAGGCTTCTTAGAAGGAGGGCTTCGTAGAAGGCGCCCGACCCTATGGACAAGGCCCGCGCCTTCTAAGAAGCGTGGGTGATTCTAAGAAGCCTTCCCCCTACCCCTACCCCCCTCTGCGCGTGGCCGAGGATAGTCGAAGGCAGAGTTGAACCGATCCCACAGGTTCCGAAGCGCATGCATCAGCTCGGCGACGTGCCCCGCCTCCCCATTCACTATGTAGTTGATCGCAGCCCTGAAGGGCCTCTGCTACTCCTCCTCCTCCTCCTCCTCCTGCTCCTCCTCCTCCTCCTCCTCCTCCTCCTCCTGCTCCTCCTCCTCCTCCTCCTCCTCCTTCTCCTCCTCCCCTCTTCTCCTCCTCCTCCCTCCTCCTCCTCCTCCTCCTCCTCCTCCTCCTCCTCCTCCTCCTCCTCCTCGGGCCTGGCGGCTGCGCCACCGCTGTCCTCCACGTCGCAGCGCGGGCCGCGCCAGGGCACGAGGCACTCGCAGGCGCCGTCGACGCAGGTCCCCGAGGCGCCGCCAGCTGGCCAGGAGGCGGCCTTCTTGCCGGCCCCCCTCTCCAGGTGGTAGGCCACGCCGCTCAGCGGGCCCCGTGTCTCCAGCGCCCACTGCATCCGCAGCCGCACCGAGGGCGGGGCCTCGGAGGGCCCGGGCTGCGCGGAGTGCCCCGGCGGGCAGGCCGACTCCGCCGTGGCATCTGGCCGCATGCCCTGCCGCGCCAGGAGGCCGCAGGCGACGCTCGCGGCGGTCGCCGCCTGTGCCTCCGAGGGCCGCAGCCCGCCCACGTCCAGCCACGAGGGGCTGAAGTGGGACTGCTCCTCGAGCCACAGCGTCAGGCGCGAGAGGGGCGAGCAGAACCAGCCGAGCCGCCACGCCTCGAAGGTCCACTCCGGCTGCGGGTCCCCGTGCTGCTGCCCCGCGTCCGCGGGGTGCGGATCACGCCCGCGGAGTGCGGCGGCTAGCTCCTCCAGCGCGAAGACGGCGTAGAGGTGCTCCACGTGGAGAAGGGCAAAGCCGCGCGGCGCCAATATCGCCACCACCTGGGCCAAGGAGCACTGTGCGAGAAAGACGCGAGACAACTCGACCTCCACGCGCTCTTCCTCGAGCTCACGCGCCATGAAATGGGCAAAGTCTGGCAACACCCGCAGCGGCGGTGGCACGATTGGGTTGATTGGGGCGTACACGAAGCGAAAGGCGCTGGCCTGAGGCTGAATGAGGTCACGCAGCAGGGCGCAGTTGCCGGTGCCTGGGTGGAGGTACAACACGTCCACGGGACTATCGGGCAGTTCTGGTGGCCACGCCTCCTGGCTCACCATGGCCTCCGACTCTGGCGCGGCATCTGCGCGCTGACCTGCCCAGAGCCTGGGAGTGTGAAATGCGGCCGCCTGGAGCGAAAGGCTGCTTGGCTGTCCCAGTCCCTCGGTTCTGCCACCACCCCGATCCTGCGCCACAGTGCGTTGGGAGACATAGTGGACGTGGCCCTCCAAGCCGCTCTGCTCCAAGCACGCGGTAGGGTCATAATGAGCCCCATGCGCGTCGGCGCAGGGCGCGTGGTGCTGATTCATCTCTGGCGGGTAGACGGACCAAAACTCAAATGCTGGTGGCGTGCCGCTCAGCCTGAGCGCCTCGAGCAAAGCATGCGCCGGGGCTCCGTGCCACGACTGCGCCCCGGAAGAGTCCCTGTAAGGCCCACGATTGCCGATCGCTGTTGGCAAGCCCTGGTGGTCGAACAAGCGTTCCCTGTCAGCGTCGCAGATCGCAGAGGTCCGGGAGAACGGCCGCACTGGTCGCGCGCGGCCCTGTGCGAGCTCCACGACTCGTGGCCATGACTGTGCCGTGTCGTCCGCGCCCTCAAGGGAGTCCCTGAGGGGACGCATAAAGACATACGAATAGTATGTGCCACTGTTGGGGACACACTTCCGACCCGAACATGTAATACACAATCTTCTAGAATACGCGTACCTAACCGTGAATATACATATATATGTATATATATATATGCTAATATACATATATACATACATACATACATACATACATACATACATACATACATACATACATACATACATACATACATACATACATACATACATACATACATACACATAAATACATACATACATACATACATACATACATACATACATACATACATACATACATACATACATACATACACACAAGCATGCATGCATGCATGCATGCATGCACATCACATCACATACAATCACAACACATCACATAACATCATATTGTGTTGCATTGCGCGGCATTGCATTACATTACATTACACGCAGTACATCATGTTACATCGCATTACATTGCATTGCATTGCGCTGCAGTACTCAAATCACACAACAATGCATTACACATTACATCACTTGACATTATGTTGCATTGCATCACATTACACACGTACACACATGCAGAAATGCATACATGCGTGCATACAGATATGCACACATAACTCCATGTACGCATACATGCATGCATACATACGCACATGCATACATACATAGATACACCCATACACTCATACACCCATACACTCACACATACATACATGCATATACGTTGCATACATACATACATGTATACCTGCCTGCATGCATACATATTCATACATGCATATGTATGTATGTATATATATACATATATATATATATACCCGAGCTGTCTGGTCAGAAAACGCCCGCCACCGAGAGCATACTTTAAGACTTCGCGGCCCGCGCGTCGCCTCTGGGGTGCGCGCGCGTAAACAGTTCTGGTATGTTTGGGGTTCACTGCCCCGATACGCAACACGCAACCCGTAGCGTGTTGCCACGGAGCTCAACACGAGGACCGGAAACGAACGTTTGGCGCGACACGTTCGCCAAAACGTGGGCCAAGACGCGCCCAGCCAACACGCGGTGCATTGACACGGACGTTTTGAATGTTGAACACGGCGCGTGTTACGTTTTTCAAAACGGGCGCATCAGGGCAGCTAAGACAATGTTTGGGTGGTGCCGACCTCAGATACGCCACGAAGCCCGAGTGCCCGAGCAGCGCGGACGCCGGCCCTCCCTGGAAACGCCCGGCGACGGCCAGAGCGGGCAGGGCATCGAGCGCGACGACCACCGCGCCGTGCAGCTGCCCGAAGGCACGGCGAAAGCCCGCCGCCACACGCAGGAAGCCTTCCGAGGCGGGGCCCCCCTCCGCCACGCGGGCGGCGGAGAGGAGGTCCTGGACCAGAACACAAACGACACCACCCCACCTACGGCCCAAGGGGGCGTAGCGTATACTAGGAAATCTGGCGTGGACTTTGGCGTGGTATGCGCTACGGCCCCCGATGGGCCGTAGCGCAACATGGAAGGCCGTAGGTGGCGTGGTGTCGCTTGTTTTTTGGTCGAGGTCCCGCAGCGAACCCACAGCTCCGCCAGCCTCAGCGATGCCGCGCACCTGCGCGCTCATGGACGCCACCCGCCCCCGCCACTGCAGCAGCCGCGGCGTGCCTTTGCCGGGACCCCCCTCGGAGCGCGTGCAGGCGCCCTCGAAGAGCTCAGCAAAGCGCAACAGCCTCGAGGTCAGCTGCGCGAAGCGGCGCTCCACGTCGGACTCCTGGTCGCCTCAGGGCAGTCGCGACCACAGGGACAATGATACTCGCCTCTCCCCCAACACCCCCTTTACCACCCCCACGGGGGAGGAAGGGAAGGGGAAGGAGGAAGAGGAGAAGGGAAAGCATAGAAAGAGAGGAGGAGGAGGAGGAGAAGGAGGAGGAGGAGGAGGAGCGGGAACTAGAATTGGGGGGTGGAAGCTGTACGAGAGAAATCATGGCGGCAATATGATGATGATTGCAATGCTTACACCTCGTGCGTTATACAAGTACGCGCCAGCGCTGAAACCAAACGGCGGCGGAGCATCCTATTGAGTCGGGATTGTATGGGCGATCGAACAGCTCTGGCGGAGAAGAAGGACAAAAGAAAGAAGGGAACCATAACTGTCGAATACCAATAGATTCTCGCCTCAACTGGGATACTCCGTCGCTGTCAAACCTGAAGGCGCGCGACGCGCCTGGGCGCGAGATCGCCGTTGCGACGAGTAGCTCACTCGTGCTCTCAAGAGCGACACTGGCGGAGATCACGCGTGAATGATGGAGGTATGAATTCTCCCAGGGCCGCATCCGCATGCGTAAATGACCTTGGGCTGCAAACGTGATGTCTGGAAGACTCTCGTGAGACTTAGGCAGAGTGATGGCCCAGGGGTCACGTGAAGGGCGATGTGGAGGTGTGTAGACGCCTCGGTTGGGTAGGTGGGAGGAGGTGATGGATGGAGATAGACCACGAGGGATGCGCGCACGTGTGGCACGATCGCCTCGAGGCTCACCGGCGCACTTTTGGCACGATCGCCTCGAAGCTCACCGCAATTACGGGTTGCGAGAGCCGCTCCTGTCAAGTCCGAAGGCCACATCCTCGCTGGGAGTGCCAGCGCCCTCGCCCTGCCCGGCCCCAGCACTGCCCGTGGGCGAGGGCTGCTGGCCTGGATCGCCAGCGGCAGCCACGCGGAGGGCCGCGCTGGCGCCTGCGCTCGACTTTCCCCCCTGCCCTGCGCGTCTTTTCTTGCCGGGTAGGTCGGTGTCGGTCTCGGGAACGTGCTCGCTCTTGCTCTCGCACTTGTTCTTGTCCTTGCCCGACGCCATAGCGGCGCGCCCGCGAGAGCCGATGGGCGCCACGGCTCCTGTCCTCGTCCAAAACGGGCGCGGCGCCGAAGGGCGGGGCGGCGTCGGCCCACAGATCGAGCCGCGGGCACAGCCTCGCAAAAAGGGAACCAGGGCTGAGCCTCCGGCGATAGGCGCCGACGAGGAGGAGTGCGCAGCAAGCGCTCCACCCGCGGCGACAAGGAAAGCGACGGCCGCGGCGTCAGCGGCGCTGGCCTTTTGTAGCCCAGCGGCCTGCTCTTAGAAGGCGGCGTGCCAAGAGCCGCGTCGTCGCGGGCCAAGAGCGGGTCTTTTGCAAACCCTGGCCACAAGCCAACGTTGGCGAGTGACCGAGCGCGGCGCTCGGCCCTCTTGGGCGGCCCACGAGGCCCACAGGTTGCACGGCTCGGCCGCGCGCATGACCAGGCCGATGCTGAGCGGCTCGTTGTCGCACAGCGGCTGACGTCGCTCAACCGCCCCGTGGCTCTGCGAGCCTCGACCGTGAAGCCGGCGCGCAAATCCGGCTCCATGACTTGGGTGGAGTAAAGACTCCGGCGCAACAGCACCTCGGAGATTGCTTCGGCGATGTGCCACTGCCGCATGAACTCAACCACTTCGACGTCGCTGTTGCTGAGCGACGGGAGCTGGGAACCTTCCGCGAACGCCGAGGCTGGCGCGTCGGGAGGCGGCGAGCCGTTCGGGGGACTCGGCGCGGAGGCCTTGCTGGCGGGCAGCATCCGCGCGCAGCCCGCGGGGGGGCGGCGGGCGAGAGCGGAACAGAGGAGGCTCTCGAGCCCGAACGTGACCTCGAGAGGCAGATGCGGTCGAGGTGATACGCTGGTCGCGAATGCCACGTCGTCCGATGACGGCACTTCCTTCGTGGCTGACAGCGACGCCGACGGCGCGGTCCGCGAGCGACGAGGCGGCGGCGGCCCAGGAGGCACTGGCGGCTCGTTCCGAAGCATGCCGGCACGCACGCGCGCGGCAGCGGGTAGCCACCAGCGCGCGTCGACGCGCGTCGGGAGCCCGCGCGCGGGCCCGACGGCGCGCGAGCCATATCCGGCGGCGCAGCGCGCCCCAGCTAGGCGACGCACCAGCCTGCTGCTGTGGAAAACGGCAGCGGTATCATAGACGTTCATCACGGATGATCCTTGCGATTTCTTGTCCCATGCGTCAGTGTACATGCGTTCCCACATGCATACCTAAGCGCGTGCTGACCACTGCGATGACGAGGCCCCTGCCAACATGCTCATCCCGAATTTCCGCGCTGCACCATCATACCTCTCAACCGCCGCGCGCAGCGTAACAGGCCTCCCGACAAGGGATGATGATGGGGAAGGACTGGTGATGTCGAAGAGAATGGAGCACAGAGCAATTCACAGGCGCATGCTGATAATTGTTAGTTGTCAGAGGTCGGCTGGAACTCAGGACCTGATAGCACAGCGTGCTTGCTAGCCGACGCGAGGGCGACGCTGGCGAGAGCCATGGTTCACGTCGTGGAGGACAGATATATCGATGCTGCCTTTGGTCAGTTCAATCCATCCGCGATCACATCTCGCCCGTCTTCCCAGCTCACGGCCCATAGTTGGCCCGAGCTCAGGAGATCGCCGAGACAGAGCACACGCGGCAGCAATGAATGCTCTGCCGGGGGCTTGGTCTCGTAGCCGTGACGGCTGCGACGGCCCCATTGAATCGAGGCAGATATAAATTTGCAGCGCGAGGAGCTGCTGACCATCTCGTCGGCGACGTGCAGCTTCAGGGCCCCGAGGTCCCTTGAGCACTTCGCGGAGCGAGATGGCTAGAGCGAGGCCGTGATCTGCTGCGCCGATTGCGGCCATCAGCTCAAATGTGAAGATGCTTCCCATCACGGCTTTGAGCGCCCCACACAGCCAGTCTAGTAGATGGCGCGCTTGCTCGTCGACGAATGCTTGTTGAGTGCCCATGTCACTGGCGCCCGCGCACAGGAAGGTGGCCCCTAGCTGGGCCCGTCCTGCGTTGGCGCCTTCCCTCTGTTATTATATGAATGCTTCGTCGCTGTGTATTTCTAACTCGTGTGTGCAACGCATCGGTGGATAGAGCATCCGCGAAGACTTAGCCTGCGCCAATTTCACAAGCGCGTTGAGCTACCGTGCGTGACCGCACGCTGGCGCCGCTGCGTCGCGCTGAAGTGAACGAAAAGATGCGCAGATCGATTCGCACGGTGAGTGCGAAGGCTACTGCCACAGATAGACCAAGGCACAACTTGGCCAGGTTCTCCCAGGCGAGCTTGGAGTTGGACCTGCCAGCTAGCTCAGCGCTTCCTGTTGGTCGCAGAGCATGACTGCACTCGATCGGGCGCAGCTCCGATTCACTTTTGCGCGCGAATCCTACTACCCATGTCCATGTCCAGCGCACTTTTACAAAAGGCATCCTCCAGACATGGCGTAACTTGTCCATTTCCTGCGGTGGCTCTGCTACTTTGCTGTCGCCAACAGAATTGGAGGCCAGTAGAACAAGCTCGACATCAGAATGCTTGGCGGTGAACTCGTTGTCGTATAGTGTGGTGATGGTTCGTTACGTTAGATCGTTGTTTTGGTCAGTTAGATAGACCAATATCTCGGGGATCTTTGCACCAAGTCCTAGTTTCTCCATGTGGGGAACTTCACGTGCTGGGCCGAAATCCTCGCACACCTACCATTTGCGCAGGACTGCGACGGCGCCAGGGGAGAGCTCAAAATTGGCATTGCGCTCCTCATCGCCTGTTGCCTCCGCAGGCCCCTGATAGCTAGCGCCTTTCAGCAAGGCTTGAATGGCATAAGCATATCGATCTTCTCTCCTCGGCAAGCAGCCTCGGAGACAATCGCGCGCTGGGAGAACCGCGATGAGGTGCCTGAATAGGTGGCGACGAGATCGGCGTCGGCAAGACACGAAGGGTCAGCCTCATGCGGGTGATCCGAGATGTCTGAGATGGGTCTGCTTTGCTTCCTGTCCATGTCCACTTGCCTACCCACCTGCAGTCAAGGATGTTGCGCGCTACACGGCGCGGGCTGCGTGAGATGAATTTGTGGTATACACTCGAAAACAGCGGCAGCGACGGCTGCTGCGGCGCGCTCTCGAAATACTTCGGGGGTGAGTTAGACAGTGCCACGTTCGACCACTGCCCTCTTGGTTCCTGCCACGTTGACCTGGAGGCGCGCATTGTCCCTCTAAAACAGAATGACTAATATAAACTTCAGCGGCTCGTCATGGGCCAGCATTTCCCCGCAGGCGTTTCCGGCCCCGTCGACGCCCATGGCCTCCGCGGTAGCGATGAGCGCGGCACCCGCGGTGAAATAATGGTGGCGCTGGCATACCTCTGCAGAACGGACTTGCGGCAGTGGATATGACGGGGCGGCATCAGTCTCCGTCTCTGAGATCTTCTCGAAAAGTGACCGACCCTGCGAGCAGCACATCCTTCATGACTGTCCGTTGGTCGTGCGTCAGGGACGTCCACCACTGGGTGTCGACGAGGTATTGGTCGCTCAGAGAATCCTCGTGGGGCCGCACTTCAATGGAGGACAGCCTCCCGCCGTCATGCGTGGAATCATCGGGGCCCGTGCCGGTTTCCGACGGATCGGCACAATTTTCCCTGACGTCTACCGCTCCAAATATAACCATGAGATAGAACATGTTGCTGCGGTCGGGACCCAAGAGATAGACAAGGCTTAGCATGCCGGCCTCGAAGCTCCACCAAGTCTCCACTTCGCGATGGCCCGGCCACCAGCATGCCAGGAGTGGTCCGTCTTCAGGTTCGTCGGTCTCGATGCGCTCGAGGCCGCGGCCGACTTGGATGGCCACGACCCCGTTGAGATCGAAGACGATTCTGACTAAGTACTCGAGGCTTCAGGCCACAGAGCACTTGATTGCAGTGATGGCGGGCATCGCACTCGAACCACTATGCCGCGTCGATCAAAA